AATTGGATTGAGACTTGAATTAAATTGTTGGTGGGCTCAACATCGGGATTCGGGCTAGATTTGTGGGTTTGACTTAGTAGATTTCATCCTCAGCTTTTTAATTTCTTCAATTGAGTCATTTTTTTGTTTTTTTTCTAGAACTTTTTCACAAAATTTTTAACTTACAAAAGTATATATTTATAATAATAAATCTGAAATGATACCTGAAAATTTTCGATATCTAATACATATCGTTTCAATAACAAAACAAAATCAATATGCATACGAGTACGATATTGACAACTTTGATTTTAACTAAATTGTGTGTGAAATTTTTGTAAGAATTATTTTCTAAAGAACTCTGACTGCTGAGTTATGGACTCCAACTCCCAAGTTTATTCTGTAAAATGTCAATGCCATGATTTGTGGTAGGGACAGCTTGGCATAATTGAAGGGGGCCAAATTATAATTTGTTTCAAATTACATGTGAAATAATACGAAAAGATGTGTAACACAATAAATTTAATAAATAATTATCATCTTTACTTAGATCTATTATAAGTTAAAATAAAAGTAAAATAATAATAATAATACTTATCTCTCAAAGTAATACTCATATCTCTTTTAAGAATTTAAAATCTTCAATAATAGAATTTGAAGTAAACTTTTTAAATTATATTGGTGGTAAAAAATTCATCTTCTATTTTATTTCAAAATCTTGTATTAATCAACTTCATTGTTGAAAATACTGATATTTTAATTTGATAGACTAAAAGAGTCAAACTAGATGAATAAGTCTAAATTATTATTTAAATTACATATTTTATCATTTTATAGTAATTGGATAGACCAAAAGATCGAGTCAAAATAATTAAATTTATAATTGACAACAATTATAATTTGTTAATCAAGTTATACTAATTAGGAACTTGTTTTTAAATAAAGTTTGAGTTAGGTTTGGCTTTTCACTTATTTATTTAAACTTTTAAGCTAGGTTTTTTACGTTGTTTTTTTATATTATATAAATATAGTATTTATATGAATATTTTAATAAATTATTTTGATAAATTAATATTTTTTTGTTAATTAATGACATTTTTTTCTATTTAGACAAAATTAGTAATTATTAAAATTTTCAAATATTTTAAAAATATAGGTGTTTTTGTCTATATATATAAATTATGAAGATTATTCAATTTAATTTTACCCATTATCAAACTAAGTACGAAATAAATTTTATGGATTTGTCTAACTTAATGATGCAATAATTTTTTTTTAATTAATTCACATAAAAAATTTATAGAAGTTGATATTTATTTTAACGCCATTGATACATGTTTGATTTTAATTAGTTAATTAATTAAATTAAAATTAATATTTATACATTTAATGAGAATTAATTACAAAAAAGTGTATTAATATACAAATTAGAAAAATTTTAAATTTATACCTAATTCTATAAAATGTTAAACGGTTTGTTAGGTATCGATTAAAAATGTAATAAATATATTTTTTTATAATTAATTTATATACAAAATCATAAAAGTTAATATATATTTTAATACTATTAATATATAAATAAAATTTTTTTTGAACAAATTGTCCAAAAGGGGCTCGAAACCCGTCTATGGAAGAGGAAAAATGCATCTCAAGCTGGTAGGGTGTCAATTAATTAAAAGAGACAGGTGCAATAATTTTAATTAATTAATTAATCAATTAAATTAAATTAAAATTAATATTTATATGATTAATAAAAGTTAATTTTAAAATATTTATTATAGTTTTATTATGTATCCCAAAGTCAAATCTGACATACTAGTACTTTTTTTCTCCCAATCAAATCCAATCCAATTTTATTCATTTTGCCTACTTTAGTCATATCTCAAGCTTGTCAAAACGCATCCTTAAATTCTCCATCCCTGATTAGTGGCGGCTTACGATGACTGACAGGCCTCACTAATTCTTGAATTGTGGTATTTGCAACACAACTGCGAAACACCAAAATGCAACCACCGCACGGGTCCGTGATTGTCACATTTTAACAACAACAATAATAACATCCAACGATTTATTACTTCAAATAAAAAAAATTTAATTTTATTTTAGTGAAATTTTAAGTTTAAATTTTATAAATAAAAAAATATTAAATTTTTTTTATTAAGTTTAATGTAATTTAATTTTTAATAAATCAAAATTTAATATAATTACTAAATATTAAAAATTTAATATAAAAAATAATAATTAAAATTACTAATTATTTATTGATTTAAATTAAAAAAAATTCAATTTTACTTAAAATATCCAATTTAAGTTTCTGAATATAAAAATAAATATTAAAATTATTTCTCCTAACAAGATTCAACACAAATCCATTCTAAATTAATTTAGGTTTAATATAAGTACCACATGCCGAGAAACAATAATAATTAAAAAAAAAAAAAATTATCAACGAGGGGTTGGATCAAGTGGTAAGCGACTTGTTCCAACTTAAGTAAGGTCTCGAGTTCGAGTCTTTATGTACGTAACAGTTATCGCTGGGAGACGCACCCACCATTTCCAGAGGCGTGACGCGGGTCGAGTCCAGATTAATCGAGGCGAAGCCTCGATACGGGCGAGAAACCAAAAAAAAATAATAATTAAAATTAGCCAACCACCTGCTTAGTGCTGGCACACTCGACTGCAGCTAGCACTGTCCTTTAATATACGCGTCATTTGTTTGAGTGTGGGACAAACCAAAAAATTTCCCTTACATTCGTCACCCTCGACCAAAACCACCCCCACGGGGCTGGAGCGCGAAACTCCAATCAGACATGGCTCAGAAGCAACTGATCGTTGCTGTTGAAGGCACTGCAGCCCTGGCCCCTTACTGGCGCACAATCCTTCTCGATTACTTGGAAAAAATTGTCAGGTCTCTCAATTTCATTTCTTCCTCCAAATTCTCTGCCTTCAACTTTTCATCCTTTCTATAATCCATTGTGTTTTCATTACATGTCAATTGTTTTTTTCATTTAGATGTTAATATATATTTTTTGTATGATAGAATCTGATACTTCTAAATTTTATAGAGCTTTTGCAGGTACCAATTCCACTGGTCAGGTATTAAGCTCTCCCCTTTCTTCCCTTAATTGTTTTTTAGTCTGCCTTAATATGACATTTAATTTTTTTAGAGTTTTTGATTTGATTTGATTTGATTTTTTAATTTGAATTACATTTTCTATACGTTTCTTAAGTACAGAGGACTTGTTTTATATCCAATGTTGAATTTAATCTGGTCGTCTTCTACAGTCATGGATCTCATTCTGGTATGTTGTTTGCTTAAAGTTCATTTCTTTTGTAATATTTTGTTGTATATCTAGTAGATTCTAGAAGATGGAACACCAACCTTGTACAAAAGAGAAAAAAAAATGATGGTGTTTTATTGCAGCTTGCCTAGTACAACGCAGTGCCTGGACAAATGATGTTGATATTTTCTTACAATGGCTGTCAGCCTTACGTTTTTCTGGTTGTGTCTCCAATGATGCCGCGATTGCGGAAGGGCTTTCTGAAGCACTTATGGTGTGTTATTTTGATCTTCTTAAAGTTGACTTTTGTATCTCTTTCAAAATTTTCCCAATTATATATTATTTGCATTGCATTGCTCTTACCTTTAAGATTTTACTTTACTATTTTTCTGATTAAATTTTAAGCATGCCTTTTCTTCTAAACTGGAGGATGTTATGCTTAAATTCTGTTATTTTAACACTGGACTTGCTACTTATTCAGCTTCTTTGGTGGCCTTGATGAACATACTTTGCTGAAATTTCGATTTTTTTTTTTTTTCTTTTCAAATTCTTTTGATGCATCATCAAGTTATTTCATATCATTCCAAATGAGAGCCAAAATAAAAAATACGTGGATTTCCGAAGGCACTGCATTCTCGTCGCTGCTAGCAATCCTCATCCATTGCCTACACCTGTCTGTCGACCACAAATCCAAAACTTGGAACCAAGTGAGAATACAGAGGCACAAACAGAAAGTTATTTATCTGATGTTGACACCGTAGCAAAATTGTTTCCTCGGGTATGTCTACATGTATATATTGTTTTTTATTTTCCAGTTCTAGTTTTCCCTTTGTCAATTTGAGGAGGCAACTTATCCTTAGTTTTCATTGCAGTGTTCTGTCTCTTTATCTGTCATATGTCCAAAGCAGCTCCCGAAACTTAGAGATATCTACAATGGGGTAAGGAACAGGATGATAACTTTTCTTAATCTTTTCCTTAACCTCATCCTTTATTGTTTCTAAGGACGCACATCCAGACCCTCTCCTGAACTTGTGATCATTATTATATGTGAAGTTGGCTATTCAATCATCTTCAAAACTTAATGAGAACACCAAATTCTTGGTGATATGTTGCTGATGTGGATGAAAGGAATATGTCAAGTGGGCCAGTTTGTGAATTTTGCGCATGTAATTATACAAATGACAATCAGATATAATTTACTAGAATGATCCAAAATATGTTCATCATTGTAGTTTTTATTGAAAATTAAGTGTAAATCAATAGCCAGTAATCAGAAGCTGGGCATGCTAATGGTGCTTTTACATGCAGGGAAAGCAAAGTCCCCAAGCCCCAGATCCACCAACTTACAGTGTCAAAAACCCTTCTTTTCTTGTTCTCATCTCAGAGAACTTTATGGAGGCTCGTGCTGCCTTAAGTTTTTCAGGCGTTATGAGTTTGGCTCCATATCAGAGTCCAGTGAAAATGGATGTAGCTCCTGTGACCTCAGCTTCAGGGCCATCCCCAACTTCTATTCCACCAGGTTGTTTATGAATGAATCTGCTAACCTTGTGGTATTTTTCACCGGCCCTGACTGCATGGATGTAGCACGTGACTGAATAACTTGCATGTTCACAATATCATTTTTCTATCCCCTCACCTTTGGCACATTAGCAGGCAGAAAATCACATTTGAATCCAAAACCTCTACCTCAATAAACTTGAAAAACAAACTTTTTTTTTTTTTTCTCCAGATAGATAGTTGTAGAAGTTATTTGCTTTCTATTCTGTTTTTCCCTCTTCAGCATTTAAGGAAGTAAATGAGCAATGATCATAACAGATCTCTACTCAGAGCTTAATGATTTCTGTGAGTGTGAACTGATAGCTTCTGGCTATTATTACAGAATTTGTTCATACTTTTGCAACAGGATACTTTTTATAATGATAATTTGTAGGAAGTCCAAAAATGCATCCTGATCATAGAAAAATTTATGGGAAAAAAAAAAAAAAGGAGAGAGAAGTGTATTTCACTCAGAAATATCATAAATCAGCGTGAGATGATTTGTTTAAGTCATTAAATGTAGGCTTGTTAAGTTTTTATGTTGTGGCTATAAATTATTATTTTTTCCCTAAAATTTTCTCCTGGTGGAAGATTAATTTTGTTTTTGATTTTTAGTGAATGGATCTCTCATGAACTGGTTACCAGTTTCTGTCGAAAATGTCCCCACTGCCAATGTTAAAGTTGTAAGAAACATGCACCCCTTAGTTTGAATCCTCTTAGACTATTTAATTGGAAAATAAGGCTGTTTTAATGGCTGTTCTGGATACTGTGGTCATGGACTTGTGATTGTATTTGTTCAGGAACCAACAACTGTAACTTCCATGATTGGCAGTCCTGCTTTTCTGCATACTCCATCTGTTCCATGTGCTCCTCAAGCCGTTCCAAGCTTACAAAAATCTTCTCCATTAACTACTTCTCAAGTGATGATGGCAAGTGGTGGCAATGTGCAAGATGTAAAACCCATTGTAAGTTGTATGACACAGCCCTTGCATCCTGTGCCTCAAGCACAAGTGATGAACTCTGCTGCCCTCACTGGAGGAACTGGCAACATGATTCCAAATCCACATATGCCTCAACAAGTACAATCTGGGCTGTCACCTGGTGTGAACGATAGTTCAGCAGCAAGCATGCCATTGTCGCAACAGAACTATGTTAAAGCCTGGGAGGTAAATGCTATGCAATCTTGGAAAGCACTGATAGAGAAAAGATACTAAAATATTCATGAATGTTGCTTATCTGGCCTTGTTTCTATTACTGGCCTTTTTATGATTTTCATTACCATGACTGTCTTCTTAAATTGCCTCTAAATGCATTGATTGTTTCAAGATTTGCATAAATTCTATGCATTTAGTTTTTCAGTATTATACACTTGTTTCTAAGCCATTAATACTTTCTGAACATTCAAATGCGATACAGGGAAATTTATTTGGACAAAGACAAAATCAGCCTGTGTTTATCACCAGATTAGAAGTATGTGGGCAAATACTGTATAAAGTGACATCCAACTATGATGAGCATTCTTTTCCCATTTTGCATTTCTTTGATGTGATCTGTGATAGTTTTAAATGAATAATTTGCTACTATTGTTCAAATTTCAATTATATGTTTGAATCTGCATTTTCACATGATACATGAACCTTATGCGTTTTTTTATTGGTGCAGGGATATAGAAGTTCTTCAGCTTCTGAAGCGTATGTTTGTGCAGTATCTAATTCTATATTTTGTGTCTGCCAATTATAAAGGGATGTCTAGGACTATACATATTGAAAGATTACTTATTCTTTCTGACATAAATAGCTGATAAGTAATGACACACTGACAAAGGAGGCCAAAAGAATGACATGGTGATAACGCATTTCCTGGTTCTTTTAAATTATTCAAAGTGGATGAACATGTTATAAAGTCATATTAACGTATGACTAGTCTGAGTATTTTTCTTTTTCTTCTTCTTCTTTTTCAGAGAAGAAAAGTTAAGAAGTTTTCATTAAATTATCCATTCTATAAGAACTTTAAATTAAGTTCATCCACTTTGAAAGAGTTCAGGAAATATAAAAAAAAAATATATAACAGCTTCTGTTATGTTTCTGAATCACCCCATTCTTTCTTTATATTTTTTTATGTGTGTGTATCTCTTAGATCTTATGTAGTTAAAATGGCAAGATGGTTTCTATAATTGAAGGATTTTGTTTTTGTCTATTTCAGACTTGCAGCAGACTGGCCACCAACCATGCAAATAGTCCGTCTTATATCTCAAGACCGTGTGAATATCAAGTAATTTCTGCTTGAAGGAAAATTCCCTTCTTCTCTATTTGCAACGTTCTTTCTAAATATATCCTCTTATTTCTCATATATTCTCGTTAATTTTTGTTATATTTGATATCAGGCAGCATATTGCAAAGGTAGACATTTTTGTTTTTCAGGCACTGTTTCAACATGCCTTTCTTTACCAGCTACTTGAAAGGAAGCTTGTAAGTTTTTTTGAATATTCCTTTTTATTTCTATCAAGAATCTTTTCTTTGAACCAATATAGCTTACTGTTTCTCAAGTTGAGTATCTATTTATTGACCTCTTTGTTGAAATATATTCCATTTTTCACTTTCTTTATATTTTGTTGTGTAGCTTTTGATTTTAGCTTATTATTTAAGGTCTAGAAATTTCAACTGCCTTTAGTGGGAATATGGTTAGAGCAATATATCATTGGACAAATAAAAGTGGTGTTCCTTTATAATTTCGTCCTTTTCCCCTCATGCTTAGCTGGATATGCTGACATGCAATTTGACAATTCTGATTCCTTCAGGGTGCAGTTATCCAACTACCATCTCAGACGTTGCTGCTTTCAGTTTTTGAAAACAAGCCCTGTTGCTTGGTTGGAATGCTTGTCCCTGCGGTGAGAATTTTCTTAACTTCTCTTCTGGGAAAAGAATTTTCTGAACTTGAATTTGATATAGTTGCTGTGTATTGACTAGTGTAGATTATTGGTCAAAACATTGTTACACCAATTCCAATCTCAAAATAAAATCTTGATGTTACTTCAGAAACTAGCAACAAACTGTGCATTTTAATTGAGCTAAGGTTGTGGAAACAGAATATGGTTGTGTTTAAGCGACAATTGCCTAGCCATCAGCAACAACTTCAACAATGGCAACACCAGCAGCTGCAACCACAGCAACACTCACTGAAACAGCAGCAACAGCTTCAGCTACTGAAACAACAGGAGGGGCAGCTTCCACGGCAACAGCTTGAACAGCAGCTCATTCAGCTTGAGCAGCAGCAGAATCGGCGGCCACAGATTCTGCTACAGCAACAGCAGCAGCAGCAGCTTGTACGACAGCAACAGATGGTCGGTTCAGGAATGAACCCAGCTTACTTTCAAGGCCCAGGCAGGTCAGATTCAGAATTAGTTTCTCAAGGGCAGGTCAAAGGGCCCACCTAACATGCCTGGTGGTGGCTTCATGTGCTTAAACCACACCTTGAAAATTTGATGCAAGCTTATTAGGTCTTAAATAGTTTTGTAGAATTGACAGAAACAACAGGTTTTCGTTATCAGTATTTTTATGGCTGCATAATGAACAGATGATGTAATTCGTCCAGTCCCATGCGGATTCCTTTTAGTTTGATAGCAGATGAAGCAAAGCCACCATTGCAGTTGCAGTACCCCACCATGAATTTCATGATGACCTAAAATCATATCCTTGCATATTTAAGGATGATGTTTAATGTGCGAGTGGGAAAAAGTGGTAGTATTTCATATTGTGGGATGCAGTCTTTTCGGCCTTGAAGTGCTCCCCCAGTGGGGATTGATAACTCGAATTGAAGAAGTGAATATGACCCACTAACCTTTCAGGCGGCCCTTCTTCATTTCAATAATCATTGCAGAAGTTATGGCCATTAATTAAAGAACACAAAAGAAATATAAAGATATTGAGATTGTAGGTCCACTTCACCATCCAAGAAAACTTCCGTTCATTCGCTCTTCCTCTGCAACCACGAAAATGAAAACATTGTACTCTCGTTCATCAAGATAAGTTTTCGCCAGTGGAGCTTTAATGGTGTTTATCATCAATAATTAAGTTGTTAAAGTAGTAGTCAGCATTTCTTTTTTTTTTTCTTTCCAGAATTTATCTAGATTAAAGTCTTGGGTAAAATGTTAAACTATCTTGAATCTTGTTTTGAAACAACAAGACATGTTATTGAAGTTAACTTTCTGAATAAAATCGTAGAAACGAAAAAGGTTGAGGAGAGGATAGGGGAACACTCAAAAGGGTGAAGACTCAAAAACTACAACTCCCTATATCTCCCTATCCCCTCTCTGGGCCTTATTTGTTTCGAAATTTCTCAAGGGGTAGCTCAGAAGTCCTTAGTCAATCATCAGTTCATTTTTCTGGCTGGCTTGGGAGGCTGTCCCCATTTTATCTTTTCTGAGGCAGTTTAACGTCTTACCCAAGACTATAGGTCCAATTCACCATCTTAAAAAACTTCCCTTCGTTCGCTCTTTCACCACAACAACGAAAATGCTAACATTATCCTATCATTCATCAAGATTCCCTTTTCTTTTTTTTTTTTTTTGGTTGTTATCATTCATCAAGATAAGTTTTCGCTAGTGGAGTCCTAATGGTGCTTACCATCAATAATTAAGTTATCAAAGCAGTAGTTAGCATTTTTTTTTTTTCTAGAATTTATTTAGGTTAAAATCTTGGGTACAACATTAAACTACTTCAGATTTTGATCTGAAACAACTAAATAAGTTATTGGAGTCAACTTTCTCAATAAAAACATAAAAACGAAGAAGGTGGGAGAGAGGATAGAGGGACACTAAAAGGATGAAGACTCGAAACCTACAATTCCCTATATCCTCCTATCCTCTCTCCGGGCCTTATTTGCTTCAAAATTTCTCGAAAGGGTGGCTCGGAAGTCCCTAGTCAATCGTCAGTTCATTTTTCTGGCTGGCTTGAGTGGCTCTCCCCATCTTGTCATTAACCTTCTTCTACGGAAAATGTTGACTCCTATAACCCACTTGATTGTTTTGGACTAAGATCTGAGGCAGTTTAATGTCTTACGTACCAAGGACTTTAGGTCTAATTTACCATCTAAAAAAACTTCCCTTCATTCGCTCCTTCTCCGCAACAACGAAAATGCCAACATTATCCTATCATTCATCGAGATTCTTTTGTTTTTGTTTTTTGTTTTTTTTTGGCCGAGTCTCATTCATCAAGATAAGTTTTCGTTAGTGGAGCTCTAATTATTGATGCTTACCATTAATAATTAAGTTGTCTAAGCAGTAGTTATCATTTGCCTTTTTTTTTTTTTCTTTCTAAAACTTATCTAGATTAAAAATAAGACATTTACATACTTAAGAGGGATTCAATCTTTATGATAATTAATTATTTGGAGAGTTTAAACTCTAATATATTAACCAAACTACATCCTATTCATTAACATTTATTTGATTTGAAGGAATAATATTTATTTGCTTTAAGATTAAGAGAAATATTATGTCAAAATTATGTCATTTTAATAAACATCTATTGAAAAAAACTAAATATCTTATTTTTAAAGCATAAATTAAGGTGGTTTTTTATCATTTTTCCTCTTAATTTTTTGGAGATAAGACAGACAAGCACTAATCTCTTTATTTTATTGATATAGTCATATGTTTTCTACACTTAATTATTAGGATGGTATTATAGAAATAATTTTTTATACTATTTTTTTATACCACCTTTTTATACAATTTTTACTTGTCATTAAATGAGTGAATGCATTTAATATTTTGAATCCCAAATAAATAAAAAAAATCAATTATTTAAATGATACATAAAATTATCTCAAAATTATGTCAAAATTATTTCTTATGATTTATGATATTGGCTCAAATCAAAAATGACTTCACCACTCAACTAGGTAATTAATTTATAATTTTATTTTTAACTTATAATATGTTGGGTAGTGAGCAAACATCGTTGTCCTACAATTTTTATATTGAAAACTTTACTCCAACTACTAGAATTGCCTTCTCCTATTGGGAGTCACAAATTTTTGTCCTGTGAATAGGAAAAGCAAATTCCCATTAAGAAAGTATTACCAAAGTCGGTATTTGCCTTTATTCTATCACGCCACTCAAAGTATAACCCACCACTTATACATATGATAAGAACGATATCTGAACCACCACATCGAAGGCACTGACTGAACCTGTCTTTGCTCAGTTGCAACAATAATGGTCTCAACTTCTCCTCCTCCAAAGGTGAGCATACCATCCTAGCTAGTTTCACTAACACCCATATAAGTGTTTAAGTTCACTTAAAATCTCCTGTTTTAAAAATCTCATAGGAAGTTGAATCCGGCCCCAAATGCGTAGAAGGAGATCCCTCTCGCCGGGCCAAATGGTGGTACTCAACTTTTCACACTGTCACCGCTATGATAGGTGCTGGCGTTCTCAGCTTGCCCTACGCCATGGCCTACCTAGGATGGTATGCATACCTTATCTCTCTAGAATCAAGGTTTTAAAGTTAGTGAGTACCATCTCAATTAAACGCTTGTATCGCATACATGATTCTGGAATAATATAATTGCTCCGTTCTTCCTGTTTTAGGGGTCCAGGGACAATGGTGATGATATTATCTTGGTGCATGACCTTGAACACAATGTGGCAGATGATCCAACTCCATGAATGTGTGCCTGGAACTCGTTTTGATCGATACCTGGACCTGGGCAGATATGCTTTTGGGCCAAAACTTGGGCCCTGGATCGTCCTCCCTCAACAGCTGATTGTCCAGGTCGGCTGTGACATTGTGTACATAGTCACCGGAGGGAAGTGCCTCAAGAAGTTCATGGAGATAGCCTGTACCCACTGCACACCGCTCCGGCAGTCTTACTGGATCTTGATCTTCGGCGGACTCCAGTTCTTCCTGTCTCAGCTCCCCAATTTCAACTCTGTGGCTGGTGTTTCATTAGCTGCCGCAATCATGTCTCTCAGGTCCTCTCCCTTCCTTTCTTCCTTGTTAGGCATACCTGTACATTGTGCATGGTTTAAGCCCATTGTACTTAGCCTGAGATGTATCAGAGATCGATATTTGTTTTGGGCTGTTATTGCAGTTATTCAACTATAGCATGGGCTGGTAGCCTGGTTCACGGTCAGGTGGAGAACGTGAGCTATGGATATAAGAACGCGAATCCGGTGGACTACATGTTTCGGGTCTTCAACGCACTGGGTCAGATTTCCTTTGCATTCGCCGGCCATGCCGTTGCACTGGAGATTCAAGCGACAATTCCGTCCACTCCGGAGAAGCCTTCCAAGGTACCCATGTGGAAAGGTGCCATCGGAGCCTATTTTATAAACGCAATCTGCTATTTTCCGGTGGCCCTTATAGGATACTGGGCGTTCGGGCAAGACGTTGACGACAATGTGCTGATGGCTCTCAAGAGACCCGCCTGGCTTATCGCCGCCGCCAACTTGATGGTGGTCGTTCATGTCATTGGAAGTTACCAGGTACAAATTAATTGTCAGTTAATTAATTTAGAAATGTTTTCTACAGTACGTTCTGCAATTAAAAACATCTGTATGGGTGTCATGCATCGTGAGTAGTAGCTGTTTTGCAGAACAGAAACTATTAGATGAGTACAACCTTCTATATCAAGAAGCTCAGTATTATATTTACTAGTTTAAGTGGTGTAATACAGTATAATCTGAGCTACACTACACCATACTATTTTGGTATATTAATTCATTATATAGGTCTTTTAAGTACTGAATTAATTAATCCAATTCTTCTGAAATGAATTTCACTGATGTTTTGAAACATGGGAAAGCTTTACAGGTTTATGCTATGCCGGTCTTTGGTTTGCTAGAAGGGATTATGGTGAAAAGACTCAACCTCCCACCTGGATTTGCACTCAGACTAATTACTCGATCAGCTTTTGTTGGTGAGATTATATAATATTCTCAATCTCTGAATTGAAGCCATGGCGTCCATGAAAAAGAAAAATTGAAATCGCCTTTTATCTTGATCATATTGCAGCTTTTACTCTGTTCATAGGAGTCACATTCCCATTCTTTGGAGATCTGCTGGGTTTCTTTGGTGGATTTGGTTTTGCTCCTACGTCATATTTTGTATGCTTCTCTTTATCTTTTGCTGTTAAATTAGTAGATAATCCAACCCATTTTGATGGATATATATCTTTCTTGCAGCTTCCTAGTATTATGTGGTTAATCATCAAGAAACCAAGAAGATTCAGCACTAAATGGTTCATCAATTGGGTAATGAAAACAAATTCTTTAAAATGTGATATTCTCATTTGTACAAGTTGCTCACAATCATATGTAAAGTTTTACTAATTTTTTCAGGGTTCTATATTCGTTGGACTCTTCATCATGTTGGCATCGACAATTGGTGGTTTAAGAAATATCATCACGGATGCTTCCACTTATAGTTTCTATACATGAAAATATTGAATCATGATCATGTTAATTTGATGCAGAAATGCAAACTAAGCTTGCAAAGACCTACTATCCCAGGAATAATCTTTTTTGTGTAATTATTATATATTTTATGCATGGAATAAAGATTATAGAGAGGTTAAAACCTCAAATTGAAGGTACTAAATCATTATTTTTTTTCATTTTTACCTAAAAATCTAACATATGAATTGAGAAATAAACACTTCTCCCTTACATTTTATATCTTGTTTTAACTTTGACCTTCTATTTTTGTTAATCAAAGAGTCCATCTTGCTCATGACAGCATAATTTTCACTTCACTAAAATTGTTCCTTTTTAATATATGTCAAATATCTTCACTTTATGATGGATCCTTCCATTGATGATACTCCATGAACATGCTCTCAAAAGGATAGAAAAGGGTCAATTCAATTCGAAGATTTTTTTTTTAAAGGTGGAAGAGGAACGAGTGTTACAAACAACCTTTCAATAATTTTCTCAATCAGTTAAAAACGAAAACTCAAACTAAAAGGAAAAATAATTTATTCCAAAAACGGTGTCGTTTAATGAAATGAAAAACGACCTTTTTATTGCAATACTGCATTTACCTTGTCTCCTCCGCAATTCCTTGACCACCAGATTCATTTTCAATATATATTTTTCTCCTTTTTAGAAATAGTGGTAATAGGGAAAGGAGTGAGTCAAATTTTTGTTGGGAGAGAGTGTGGAAACACAGAGAGCCATGGAGACTGCAATATGTGGGAGATTACCTCTCTCACCTAACACTGTCTTTAATCCCAAACCAGGTTTTTCTTTCTCGCCAATCCTTCAATTATAATCAATTATTGCTTGCTTGATTTCGAATACTCTTCAAATTTTCATTTCAACACTTGGTTATCAGATTACTGTAAGGCAGTTTGGATTGATTTAATGATTATGCTTCGACTCAGTTGTTTGTTAGCTGGGTTTGGTAAAGGACGGAATTGCAGCGGTTTCTTCTGGGACAAGGGGAAATCGTTTTCCTTTGAGCAACTGTTGAAGAAGGATTGCAGATTGTTGATTGGAGACTCCTAGAACTCGGAAAGGGGTTTCGAGTTCGGGTGATAAATTTTTGCTTCTTTATAGAGAGGGAAATTCAGGGATTTCTGTGACTGATTGTATTAAGAACTTTGCTTTTGGCATGATTTCTGGCGAGGTTAAACTTAAAGTTTCTGCCTTGCTGGTATGAAAAGAGTTCAACAGTAAGGAATGGAAAGAGTTGTCTGTAAATGAATGTTGGAAAAAGTTTCCATCTTGCTTTTCATTTTCTAGAGGGAGCTTGAAATTGCTTCTTAAAAAATGCACTAATGTATATAACTGCCGACCACAGTTAGTAAAGAATAGATATTATCGTTTTAAAGATCATCTCTTTCTGCCTACTTATTGGTTTTGTTGTCAATAATTTCAAATGACATGTTTCTAGTTCCCAAGCCATGGCACTGCTGCCTGCAGGCCTTCCTTACCTTGGTAATCATCCTTTAGTTTAGTATCACAAGCATGCTTATTGTGCTGCGGTGAATCCTGCTCATACTAGTGCTTGCCTTATTTTCAACATTGGTGATTTTCTAGTTTTTGGCCAACATCATTGATGATAAATTGATGATATGCATAAAACAGGGGATAAACAGTCTCTTTGCAGAAGACAACGTCCAAATCATGGCATTCTCATGGTTGTATCAGCAGCAGCTCTAGGTAAAGGGGCAGGTGTTTTGGACAGACCAGTTATAGAGAGAACTACTCCTGGTCGTGAATCTGAGTTTGATTTGAGGTATATGAATGATCTTGGTTTGTTTCTTTTACTTGGTTGATGTAAAAATATGTCATTACTTTCTCTTTTGTGTGCATTTCCATCATAAATGATTAGTGCTCCATGCTCGTAAGTTCATTGTTCATATCTCAATTGTCAACTTTTATGCCATTTTTTGTGTCTGAATGGTAAACTTGTTGAATGTATGATGAAATGAAAGTGATGAAATCCAAGAGTCTAAGAGGGGCATCTCCATTCCACAGTCACAGATGTCAACCAATTCTAGAAAGCAGTTTTAAACCAGGCATTTCAATTTTCATCCCCTGTGTTCTGTCTGTCTTCGCCTCCTTAATTTGGGATACTTCAACTAACGATTTTTCATCACTTCCCAACAGATTGATATACTTGAATAATTGACAGAGATGCATTTATTCTTAAAGGCATTAGCACAATATGACTCTTGCATAGTTGCATTGCCTGTTTCCTATAACGAACCATCTGCACTGTACTACACTAACTATTGGATGGAGATGGATCGCTTGATATTAGGGGCTCTCTCCCCATTTAATGATCCCTGTTTTACAGTTTAGTGCAGCCTGAACTGTAAAGCAGGGTTCCCTTCCTATAAGTTCTTCATAGAAATTTTCTATTGATAATTTTTGTGAACTGACTTATACAGGAAAAAAAAGAAAACAACTCCACCATTCCGTGTGATACTTCATAACGACAACCACAACAAACGAGAATATGTTGTCCAAGTACTAATGAAGGTTATTCCAGGAATGACCCTCGACAATGCAGTTAACATAATGCAAGAAGCTCACTACAATGGCTTGTCAGTGGTGATCATTTGTTCTCAGGCTGATGCTGAAGAGCATTGCATGCAACTGAGGGGTAACGGGCTACTGAGTTCAATTGAACCAGAAAGTGGGGGTTGTTGAAGCACGAAGCTCCTGAAAGAACTCAACATAGTTTATCACTGTTAAATATACAGATTGTAGATTGTTAGATGGTGTATATACTCGGTGGTGTTCTTATTAAACAAACCTTGGAGATCCTATGTCAAATATAGACAATAGATGGTAGTAATTTTGAATAAAATTGACTTCCATTCATAGCTCAGGCAGGGTGATCTTGTTTCCTTTGCATTCAGGCAGGTCAGGGGTGACATTACTTATTTTTATGCATATAATAATCAATTTCATCATCAATTGACACCTCGGAATATCAAGAAAAAGAACAAAATGAATTCCAGGACATTTTACCCAAAAAAAAAAAAAAATCGAGACTGAACAAAGTAGGAAAAATCAATGACTTATTCATCTGAACGAAAAGAATTCAATTTCTTAAATAAAATTTTGAGTTTAAATTTTGTAAATAAAAAAGAAAGCATTGTGAGAGTTTCCTGTATAGAATCCGATCAGACTCGACTCCGTATTAATTATAAACTAATATAGTTTCTAGATACAGAAGATTAATAAAAAAAAAAAAGCCGGAAGAAAAAGAATTTTTCATCAATTTACTAGCTCTGGATCCGGACATGGATACCCCGTAGGGAGGGGCAGGAGTTGATTTCCGTCCCTATCCCGTCTGGACAAAGATTATTGCCTCGACTGAGCGGATTTGGCAGGGAATTGGGCAAATCGACATCCTCAATAGACGGGAATCAGTGTTGCATTAAATCAATCATTCAATCTCTTACCTGTTTACACTTTCGGCCGAATCATGTATAGCTCACTCATAAACACTCATGTTTATGGTTAGGCACAGAGCACATCAAAACCATAAGCAAGTTATACTTATATCGACCGTTAGCGGGAATAGAAATAGAGGCTAAAAGAGAATGTTAGAATATCCAAATTCATTCTCAATGTTAGTGTTTCCTAAAAAAATCTTCAAGTGACTTTGCACATGCGGAATCTGAATGCAGGCATATCACTTACTTTTCTAAAAAGTAAAAAAAAAGGATTTTCCTAACCATCCTCTCATTCCAAGTGGTAAACCTCGTTAAAATGGCTGGAAGAAAGTTGGTTTAAGACTGACTTTTGCCCCTTTTAGACGATTTGCGAGAGGGAGGGATGCCTTCCTGTGGAATGGGTCGCTAATTTGCCTTGGATAATCTCAAGGACTTTATCACTACCGTGAATTTAAGTTAATAGATTTAAAATGAACTGAATGAGATACACATTAAAATAAACTTGATGTTTATTGCATGAAAAAAAATCAGAGAAGCAATTACACAAGCTAATTTGGGTACTTGAATACTGAAAACAACTTAAATCCACTGAGATTTGTGCTAAAACAGAAATATGAAAGCTAAAGTGAGCAATCACTATGAAACTAGAGAATTGAAAAATTGATGAGTTTTTGTGTAGGGCTAGTCGTGTGTTTTGAAGAAATGAGAAAGCTTCTATTTGTATCATTCCTGCAAACTGTTTCTTAGCTGATCAGATCACAGATAAGTTCCTCCCAAATTTTAGAGATTTCTATTTCTTTTAAATTCAAACTGCAACAAACCAAATAAATTTTATCCTCCCAACCAATTTTATAGATACCCATCTCTTCAGTGGATTTAATCTCACCTTATCCATTGACGTATGCTTAAAAAATGCTATTTATGGGCTAAACAATTAGGTTGTAGAAATATATTTATTTTTAAATAAAAAATAAAATAAATCTATTTGTAAAATTTTTAATTTAGATAAATCATCATATATTTAATATATGATATCATTTGAAGTCAATGACTCATTAATAATAAATTTATCAGTGATGCATAAATTAACAAATTACTATTAACTAACTTTAGGGTGAATTTGAACATTTTTTGTCAAATAGGATTGCTATCCAAAGAATTTGATTAAAGGTCACTTTATTTTAAAAAAAAAAATTATTAAAAAATTAAAAATATTGTATGAAAAATTAAAAAATATTGTATAAAAAATTATTAAGTTTTATATAAACTTTTGTTAGAATTTTGTTAAGTTATTAATTTTATTTTGTTTAATAAAAAATTGATATGAGGCTAATTAATAAAAAAAATTAAGTTGCCAAATATATAGAAAATTACAGAAGAACATTTTTTTTTCAAAATAGGTAAAAAAAAAAAAAAGAACCTTACATGTTAAAAAACACATCAAGTGATAAATTCTTAAAATATTATTTTTATTTTTTTATTATAATATTAATATGTAAAAATATATATAAAACAAAAAAACCTTATAATTAAAAACTTCTAAAAAATTTAGGAAAAAAATTACTTCTTGACCAAACACCCCCCTAAAGTTTTAAACCCTTCATTATCATTTGAAAAAATATATTGAAATATTTTTTTAAAAAAAATCAAAACAATTTATTATTAATAATATCATAACATCTAACGATAATCACTTAATAAATTTGATAAAATTACCATCCGCATAGGTTTTGTATTTAAGGGTCGTGGAAGTTAGACTTCCACTACTACAGGGTTCGGTACTATTAAAAAGAAAAATGGAAAAAGCCAAAAAAATCTGAAGCTATTTTTTTGGTCACTAAACTGAAACTGATAAAAGCCTTAAAATTATATCATCTTTATCTTAAAACGAAAAACAAATTATTGAAGGAAAGCCAAGGGATAAAGTGCCGTTCAGAACTTCCGATCAAACAGGCATAATAAGGTGGCTTCCTCACTCCAAACAAATGTCCGTCCTTCGTATAAAATTCTTCACTTCTGAATGGTTGTATGTAAGTCACAAGCCCAAATAGGGAAGTTATCACCAGAACAGCTTTCAATACCAGAACCTATGCTGTAGGCAGAGAGCAGAGGAAGTGATAAGGGATTCAATGCAGTGGGAAGCAGACAGCATAATGACAATTGTGCAATTTCAAATGGTACTTATAGTTACACCCTCATTCACATACTAGGCTTTCAAAGGCAGTTTGGCAATTTCAGTAAGGTTAGTGCACATGCATGTTAATGCAGACGTCAAGAGAGAGAATGAGAGACGGCCAAAACTTGAAAGGAGAGTGTATGCCCTCATGCATTTTATTTGTGTATGTCACGCATGGGCACACTTGCACAGAGGTCCCTGGAAAGGAAGAAAAACTGACACAAAACCATAGACTATGTTACCAAGATATAAACATTCAATCCAGTGAACGAGCACCTACCATTAGTGGGTTAGTGGTCATCATGACTAAGCTGGTGAGAGGAAGGATTGGATGCCAAAAACAATGAAGAGAACTCCGCCTGATATAGCAACCTACATGAAAATTAGAAGCAATAAATGCTCAACAAACTAAAGTAAAGCAAACTGTGATAGCAATGAACAGAATATATGGGCCAAAAAATTACAAATTTTTCAGATATCTGAGATGCCAAGCTTTTTCCTCCAAGGACAGCAGCAGTGGTACATAGTGCTTGTCCTCTGAAAAATGAAAGTAAGACTAATCAACAATTCAACATAAACATAAGAAATAAATATGAAAAACATATAGAGAGTGGATAGAAATCAGAAACAAACAGCAACCCCCTGTAATATGCAGAAAACCAAATAGGTATAACTTACACAATTCCACCAAGAACCACACCAAAGGGATTCTCATCAGCAGCCAATCCAATTGTAGCTAACTGGAGGCAGTAAAATATTTAGTCCAAAGTAGTTGAGAATAAAAAGTAACCAATGCTAAAATATGCAAAGAAAAAATGCTGTCTTTAAGTGGTCTCTACCTGGCTCTTGTCCCCCCATTCACCAAAAAATGTTATGGAAAATGCCTGCAGGGTAAGTGAGGTCAAACTATTTGACTAAATAAAAGCTTGTTGAGATTGAATAAAAGTTGCAAAAGATTAGAACCTTCAAAAATATGGGAGAAAAGAACTGTGTCAGAAATGGCCGCTGCTTCTTTTTCAGTTCATCTTTGGCCTGCAAAAACCAAAAGCATTTTAAACACTTCAAAACACTAAGCATCGTGTCAAAAGCCATAACTTACATGTAAAAGTTGAGTATAGACAATTGCCAATATGCAAAATAACTGAAAAATATGACCGGATGGTTTGCTACTTATCTTGAGTATCTACAACTTTCAGTCTGGGGGGTTCAATATTTTGTATGACATATCTCTTTCTAGAGGAAGGATGGGTAGAAAAATCATTTATGCACTAAAAGAAGACATTGACGCTGAGACATAATAATGTTGCTCTACCTTATTGGCCTCTTTGGTTGTTCTTGTGTTCTCCTTCCAATCAGCATCCTGATAATGCCACAAAGATAAAAGTCAAAAATAGTTTGAGATGAATATAAGAAAAGTCATAATGCAGGGAAAACCAACCAATTTCGCTTCAACTTCAGCCAATTCCGCAGCCTCCCTGTTAAGGAAACATAACTAAATTACAATAAATTTTATTTTGCTAAAGCATGAAGCAGTTAAGTTATCCCATCCAACAAATAGCAAAATAAAGGAATGGATATAAGTAAAAGCCAATACCCTCCCTCCTTAATTCCATCCCAAAAAGAAAATAGCCCAAATCCAAAGAACAACAATGTTGTTATGTGATGAGTCCATTTGCGAGAGATCTGCATTGTTTAAGATGCACAAGCAAATTCAAATAATTACATAACAATTTGTAATAACACATGATTGAAATGTGACACCTCTCATCCATGATTACCAAATTCTGAGATAAAATCTATCTGATGTAGAGCCAGGAGAGAAATACAGAATCATGGATAAGAAAAGATAAGGTTTCTGAAAGCAATGATCTCAATTCATCTTCAACTGCCAAAACCTAATACAAACTACCATTTATATAGAAAACTTAAACCTTTTTATGACTCCTAATAGGATTCTTATGAATCACTATCAGAGACGATGACCTGCTTTTTAACTTATGTCACTTTAAAAGGATCGCAGCAGAAGTGCAATTAAACTCAGCTTGAACATGCCAAATGATTGTTAAATACAACAATACTATCAGATTCATGAATTAAAAAAATGTCAGATGAGTGAAGCATGTACAAGGGAAATGCGAATGACTACTTCTCCCCAACTATTTGATTTATACACAGCTTTTTTCGCAATTTAAATTGTAACTGTGGTTGACAAAGAGGATATTCTTGGCATTTATATCACCAGAGAAACTATTGAGCAAATTATTGAAGTATTTCCTCATCAATAATATGTAATAACATAGAATTGTAAGGCTTTCCATTCCTCTCAAACCAATTTTAATTTATCTTCATTTTCACTTCCTCCTAATCATAAGCCCATCAAGGCCAGCAGATCATTAGGCAATGCTAAGTTTTCTGCATGGTGATTGGAATTGTTAATCCTTTATGTCACTGTTAGGTTCTCAAACAAGAATCAGACAACTTACCATATTTGGAGCAGCCCAGCCAACAACAGCAGAGAGAATAGTCATCACCTAAGATCAAAAAATACATTTTTAAGTATAGAGAGAGGCTTATGAAAAGAAAAAAGATATTTTCCACCAAATAAACTTGGATGAAAGGAATAATTGGGAAAATGGATAAAGAGAAGCACTTACAATTAAAGCTGCCAGGCATCCTGATAAGACAAGTCTCCTTGGATGGCGCATTGCCAATATCTTGAAACAAGTGTAAGACAATGGCAAATGATGAAGATTTAGTTTTCAAGTATTGCAGGAAAAACACATCCAAAATTTTAATTTTTAGTTGTAGACCGTGAAAGGGAATACTCAGTGATGGTTTTTATGATGATATCAAAACCAGTCAATTAAAAACATGAAGGATACTAGAGAACTATCTGCATGAACTGTTTGCCTCAAAATAAACATGAATCAGAGAATAACTTATTCTCCTTAAAAAAAATAAAAATAAAAAAACCACTTTTATTGGGAAAAAAAAAAATCTACCACATAAGTGTTAGGTGGAGGGCAACTTATTGGCTCTCTACATGTTGAACTTTAAGTCATTATCTGCATCTTATCAATATAACTCATAACAAAGTCATTTGACAGAGACAGATTATTAAAACAGGAGATACAGAGAAGCAGCACGCCAACTTACAGAGCAGAAGGAATATTTTACAAATTTTATTTATGAGTCAATTGGCTGAAACAACATAACTAGGAGCAGCATTTTTCTAAGTAAATGACATCAATAGAGGACAAGGTCTCTTTTATTATAAAGGAAACATTTTGATACCCCATGTGAAACTAAAGCTAGAGAACTAATTAGCCCAGTAATTTCTCAAAGAGAGTTGATCAACAAGACGGAATATGAACAATGAAAATCTATTGATCCTTGGCCAAGTGGGGTATCAGAACCACAATAGAGCCATCAGGATAACTTATCCTTTTCTTTTGAAGGGCGCAAAAACAAATATGCTCCTTTACAAATTGAATACTTAATGTATTCCGAGGAAAAGATGCCTTTGCTGGGAATCCAACACTTAGAAGCATCTTGCAACCTTGGGTGGTGGCTGCTTATTCTAATCTAAGAACCTAATTTCTCTGTATAATTTTTCAAAGAATTAAAAAAATAAAAAATAAAAAAGAACAAGATGGAAACAACTCCAGCTGCCTACTTCATAAAATGCTAGAGAAACACATGGGATTAAACCCTAATTTTCAATTTTCACTTTCTTAACTGCGTTATCATTAAAAAGAAGAGGAGGAAGACAAACATATGAACACAATACACGTTTTATTATATATCTTCTTAAAGTATGACAATTATCCGTTATTTAATTATGCTCAATTAGTTTCATTCTACCGAATCATTTTTCAAATCAATATATTTACCAAATTTACACCAAACATCCAAAACCAGATCTCAAAAAGATAAAAATAAAATAAAAACTAAAACACGAAATGAAATCTAATCTTCCACTTACTGCGGCGGCAAAGAACGTCTTGTCGCCAATCTCCGATAGCACCGTCATGGCGAGTGACTTGGTAAAGCCCTTATAAACCGACCGGAAACGAAATGAAATTCAGAAATCAATGAAGCAATTCCACATTAAAAAACGGAAGGAAAAAAAAAAAAAAAAAAATGAAAAGAGAGATATGAAATTTGTTTGGTAATTGCTTTATCTGCAATTGAAAGTGAGCTCATGATTTTCCGGCGAGCTGAAACGCAAGGCTGTGCGAGAGAAACAGAGAGAGAGTTCTTTGACTTCCTCCGATTCTCCCTGTTCTGAGT